AGAGAGAGAGAGAGAGAGAGAGAGAGAGAGAGAGAAAACACATGGCCGGCAAGCCACTCCCACAAAGGAGGCCATACCCACAGAGTAGGTTCAATTTTTTTTTGAAACCCACCACTGATACATACATACATACACCATGAGCATTATTTGTTATTTTTCCAAAAGTAAGATATTATAATAAATCAGTCCCATCTACCCCTCCTTCAACACTGTGTAATACCTGTTTGTGGTATAAATTTTCTGTAATTGCCGGAGACTGACAGATGACATTTTGTTTCTCCATTCATACTTCCACGTGCATACAGATATATATCTGTGGAGCCAATGAATAGGGCTGTGATGAAAATAAAGGTGTTTCAAATCATTTTTCATCCACCATGAGGGAAGCAGCCTTCGGAAACCAAAGACCAGCTGCCTGACATGATATGATGTGTTTCTAGGAGACCCCACTGTGCTAGCTAGGAAATAAAACTCATTATTCTTCGTGCTTGCAGCCCTGATGGAAATGGAGCTGGTCTTGAAGAAAGTCATAAAAGAACGACAAAGAAAAAGCTTCAGCCGACACATCTTCATAGATTCTTTACTACAGGGGAATCTGAGTGACAAGCAGGTATCTGCATCTTTGGTGTGATCAACTATTAATGCAGTTCCCTCTAGATCAGCTGCTAATTATGTATTGGTAGTGTTTGATTAATATAATAGCCTCCATTGTATCTCATTTGAATACTTTTTTCCCCCTTGCTAGAATCTAATGTGTGTGGCTATTTTGGACCTTTAGGCTTGAAGCTTTTTTTTTAAAAAAAAATACAGTAATATATTATGTTATGCACTTAACTGTTAAGGTGACCTGGATAGGGTTGTTAAAATGAGAGAAGCTATATTATTTTAGCTAATTCCAAAAGGGCAGGAAATTCTTTCTACCAGATCTAGGACAAGAGTGAATTTTTTATATTTTTGATGGGACAAGGTTGTGAACTAAGGAAATGATGAATTAGGGTGCAATGTTTATGAGAAAATCTTCCTTGGCAGAATAGTTGATAGTCGATAAAATATCTGGCATATCTGAAGTGTTAAATCTGGCAGATACACCATGGCAATCTCATGAGTGGTCCACCAACGTACTGGATATCTGTTGCTTTTATAGAGGCTGCATTGCCTTGGCGAAAATTATAGAGGTCCACATCTGGTGGTGAAGAGTGGAGCTATTGCCATTCCCACACATTCTCTGATAGCAATAGCAGTAGCAGTTGGACTTATATACCGCTTCATAGGGCTTTCAGCCCTCTCTAAGCGGTTTACAGAGTCAGCATATTGCCCCCACAGTCCGGGTCCTCATTTCACCCAC